TCAGCACCTTGAACGTCGGGATTACGTTTACTATACTTCCATACTAAAAGTGAAGGATTGGAGCCTGTACCTCTACCAACAAATTGGCAAGCTGCACTAGCTGAAAGAAGGAATATGGTAAAAAGTGATATTTTCATTTTTAGAATGCGAAAGTGATTCAAGAAGAGTTAATAAAATATTATAAAGTATGAGGTTTAGACTCCAGAGATGGGAATGTAGATTGATGAGAATGGTATGAAATCCGAGCAGGTCTTTATATAGAAAAAAAAGAGAAATTACGAATCTATGCATGTTCTTGGTTGGTAAAATTTCTTTATACATTATAACAAAGTGTTTCTTTCTATAAGTAATGAACAAGCTTCTATCTTTGTGGTCATTTGCATCGTGTGAATGTACTGTATATATACAATGATCGCCATTTTTATAAACAGTTTACAGAACTATTTGAAAAGCTACTCGACATTAACGCCGTAATTGTAAATGCAATAATTATTCCTCTCAATCTTGATAATTTAGATAGAGTCTCATGTATGACATCCAAATTAATTATTTTTAACTGTTCTTCGGTTTTGGTAACCTTCTAGATTAAAAGGATTTGTTCATGTTCTTCAACAGGTGTTTATTTGTTAAATCATTTGACGCGATTGAATCCGAAATTAGCTATAGGACTGTCGATCCAAAGGTAGCTAAAGATATTCAAACTAATTTTGGAAGACAGTGCCGATAAAATGATCGTCGCAATAATTTCGTGTGCTGAATCTAATACTACAGGTAGATAGTACCGACTACTGTATTTCGTGACTTTTAGTTTTTGCATTTACAATGGGTATTTATTAAATTCTTTTTATCACGATTTTTCATCTGTTAATTGATGTAAAATGTTATATAAAAATATTGATTGGTTTGAGTTGACAAAGAACTGCTTGTTTCAGAAATTCTGTTCGTTACAAACATGTTAAAGCATATTAATAAATATTTAATCATAAACCAACAATTTGCTTTCTCCTTGTTTTGAAAGTTCTAATTCCATCCCGCCATGGATATCCTAGCCTAATAAGGTCAAACTTAAGCCGGTTTTGACATTATACTGAATACAATATAGAAAGAAAAGGTAATTTTTAGAGGCGTAATGATTTAATTAAAATTCTACATCTAACAAAACGCCTAAAACACATTAATAAACACGTCATGACAAACTATTGTAACAGTGTAAGTTTGGTACGTGATGTTGTCACGTGATCTATCTCCGCGAAAAAACCTGTTTCGGTTGGGGGATTGTGAAAAAGAATTATGTAATATAATCGCTATTATTATCTAGTAGCAGTCAACCTTAAATAATTCAAGATAAAAAGAAAGAATGTAATGTTAACAAAAATCAATCAAAAAATCGATCAATTAATCAATCCTCGGTCAAATAAACACGCCTCACACCATTTGTCTTGATTAACGGTTGCGCGAGTTCTGTAATTCTCAGTGACAGGCTCACCGATGACTGTTACTCTATCACATGCTAAAATTACTAAAATTAACGGTTTCTCACCAAATTTTAGACTTTTTATTCGATTCGATATTCTCGTTGCTTTTATACATGTCTTTAAATTAAATAGACGAAATAACAAATAGACAAAATGCATTATATAATTAAAATAAGCTAATTATCAAGATAAACGCTATATTCTGGGTGCATGGGGTAAAAATAAGATGGTCAAGACGCGACAACTTCACGTGACCAATTTTAACCGGAGTATTGCGAAGCATCAACCTGTAATAACAATGATTAATTAATGACGAACAATAGACAGAGATAATATGTAATTTAGAATCCCTTACCTTTAATAGTCTAGAAGTTCTATCTATTTCGATCCAAAGAAAAGTATCAAATAAAAAAAGAGAGAATTCGGTCAGGTCAAATACGCCTCTTTTGAGTTTTAATTGTTAAAACTAAAGTGACGGTTACGCGAATTCTGTTCCCAGCTAGCGACAGACTCGCCGTTAGCCCGTCACACTATAAATGCTATCATCTACTTAGTTAATTAATGTTATTCTCGTTATTCTGAAAATTTTCTAAATTACGATAATTAAGATTGTTTTGTGAATTATCGTTATGGAGCCGTTTCTGGCATCGTTGAAATGCTTTACACACTTTCCAATTTTATAATACAGTATATATTCAGACTATTCTGTGCATTTATATTTCCACCTTCAGATGATTTTTTGGTACCAATAAAATGTTTTCTCCCGTTTCGAGTGTTTCTGATTTTGTTTTGATAACGTCCAAGATTATACAGTCCACTGGTATTTGCACCTTAGGTCGATTTTTGGTACCAATAAAATATTTTCTTCGGCCTTTTGTTGTCCCAATTTCATTTTCATAACAATCTCCAAGATTATTCTGTCCCGTGGTATTTAACTTTCGTCCGATTTTTTGTATCAATAAAATGTTTTATCGTGGTTTTGAGTGGTTCCTGTTCCATTTTGATAATAATGTGCAAGTGAATTCTGCTCATCAATATTTCCACTTAAGATCAATTTTTGGTACCAATAAAATTCTTTTTTTTTCGTCTTTCTTAGTTTTAATTCCATTTTCCTATTAATTTCCAATATTATACTTTCCAATGATATTTCCACTTTAGGCCAATTTTTGGTACCAATAAAATACTTTCTCGCAGTTTAATAATAATGTCCAAGATTATTCTGTCCAGTGATATTTCCACATTAGGGCGATATATGATACCAATAAAATGCCTTCTCGTGGTTTTAGTGATTCTCGTTCCATTTTCATAACAAAATTCAAGAAATTTCTTCCACCAATATATCTCCACCTTTGGCCGATTTGGAACCAATATAATGCTTTTTCAGTCTTGAGCGGTCCCGGTTCCTTCTCTGTAACATCTCCCAAGACTTAATTGCCCATTAGTATTTCTGCTTTTAGAAGATTTTGAAGTCATTCAAATGCTTTTTCGTAGTCTTTAGTAGTCCTGATTCCATTTTTGTAACACGCTCCAAACCTATCTCGCCCATTGGTACTTCGATTTATTGCTGATTTCAGATACCAGTTAAATACTTTCTCGTAGTTTTTTGAGTGGTTCCAATTCCTTCCTCGTAACAATAACCAAGGATACTCTGGCTCCAAGAATTTCCACTTTCTGCAGATTCAACGTATAAAGAAACTTTAACAAATTGTATCATAACCATAAGTAATAAATAGTCATGTTATATGCTGTAAATTAAATATTTCAAAGTAAGAAGTACACTTACCGTTTCTATAATTTTAATTAATGAACACAAAAAGTATTAGGATTATATTATAATGCTTAAAGAAAAAAATAAATCGAATAAACAATAATTGTATTCATTTCTCACATTACTCGATTACAACCATATTTTCTTGACTTTCGTCAGCATGTTTAAGCAAGTCATTAAAAGTTTCCACAGACGAGTTTACTCAGAAACTCTAATGTTAAGTGTAACAGGCAATTTCTTTCATTCCTAACCAAATGGATGAGATTTAACAGAAGCAGAATTTTCTCAGCACATTCGAATGCCTAATCAACTCTAGTATTCTTAAAGAGAAAATAAGTTCCTCTCTTTTATATTGTGCAAAAATATCTTCAGAACGAATAAAGTTTGAACAAATGTAGCTAAAGATAGTCTCCAGCCTCGTGGTTATTATCATCATTAACCATTTTAAAAATGATCTTTTCACATTCTAATTATGCATCCTTTTCTAGAGTACAACTTATACGGAATGTAAGTTTCTCACCATTTAAAAAAATCCCCGATTTAGAGCCTAATCGAAGATGACAACTTTCCCTTGATAATTTTTAATACTTGCATGTTGCTTATAACTTTCTTAATCTCTTATAATAATATCATTTGTGTTATTTCTTCCTATATATATTTTACCTAGAGAAAGGAAGCTTTGATAACTGTTAAACAAGCATCGTTTTTTGATGTAAAACTATTATTTTCCGAGAATAGACTTCAGGAGTACGTATAATCACAATCTTGATATACGTGATCAACATCAATGCCTTCGGGACAGCGAATGACCTCCGAATAATGAACGTTTTTTAGGTTATCGTCTCATGTGTTGTGATAAAGCTCAGTGTAATCTATCGGTGTTGAATTCACAGGGTTTTTGTCTTTCCTAAAATAACCGTCTCGGGCTTATTAAGAAAAGGAGTTCTGCTACTTGATATTCTCGTAATATCCACCCTAAACTGTAAATATCTGATGGCTTATCATATTCATAATAAAACTTATTGTCGAAAAGCTTTGGATCCATATAAGCAATATCCTCGGAATCTGGATTTTTACTAACGATTTTGCGTGCCGAGTTCTTTAGAGTTACAGATGATTCAAACTCTACGATGACCATTCCACCGTTGTGCTCTAATATGTTCTTTGGGTTCTTTGGTTAAAAGTATAAATCAATGAATTTAGTTTTACTAGTAACGGTGGCTAATTATATTGAACTCGATATACTGAACATTTTTCACAATGTAGAATATTTGCATTATGAATGTACACTTCATGGCATATTCACGGTGCGATAATCAAATTTTACAATAATCGGCAGATGGATGTGAATTTTTTTTTAGAAAATTTGCACAAACCACGATAATTTTTATTGAAATTTTTTTTTTAAAAAAAAATGTTATTTAAAATATATTTATATATTTAATACGTTGTAGGACTTCCTTTAGACTTTTAACAGCCTCAACATGACAAGGCATGGCAATCACGAGATTATGGTAAATAAGATTATCAAATTTTTGATCACTCCTGCAAAAACTCAAATAGTTCTGTTTCACTAGTTGGCAACAAGTTATGCCTATGTATCTGATACTATAACTCATTCCAAAGATATTCAATAGGATTAAAATTAGGGCTTTGGCAGGCCATGGAAACAAGAGATATTTATTTTCTCAATTCATTTTTTTTACATTCTTTTCTTGATGGATTGGTCAATTATATTCTTAAATGGATAATTATTTTAAGTATTAAAATTTTTTAAATATGATAATATTAACTAAAACATTAGTATAGTAAATTACTTTTTGTTATCCATTAAAACAATTCATACCATTACTCCTCTTCAATCAGAATTGATGTTGAAACTAGACAATTAACA